TGGCTCAGTAGGTTAAGCGTCTGCCTTCAGCTCAGGTCATGATCCCAGGGTTCTGGGATTGAGCCCCACATCGGGCTCCCTGCTCAGTGGGAAGCCTGCTTCTCCCTCTCCCACTCCCCCTGCTTGTGTTCCCTCTCTCACTCTCTCTCTGTCAAATAAATAAATAAAATCTTTAAAAAAAAAAAAGAAATTCTGAAACTCACATGCAGTTTTGCAAGAAAGGGTTAAAGGGGAAGAAAAAAAGAGGTTGGATTGGAGTGGATTTTTCCATGACTCAGTCATCAAGCAAAGCAGAGTGGCGGTGAAATTGCCGCCCTATGACTAAAGGCCTCCTGGGCTGAACCTGCTCTCAAGACTAAATGCGACATGGGGGTGGTGGGTCAGTCACTTTTACTCACTAGCACACTTGACCCTCCCAAATTATAGTATCCTGTTTTAAAAGCAGGTTCGGAGTTAAGGAATATACTTTTCGGGAGATCACTCTTGAGCATGAAAAATCCCAAAAAGCCAAGAGGCACAACACTGTCCACCTTGAAACCTTTCCAAACCCAGTACCAGGGAAACAGCACGCAAACAGAATCAGACTTGGCGGGGAAGGCTGGGGGAGGGGGGTAGTTCCAAGGACACCACAAGAAATCACCTCAGCTAATGTTGCACTTGTACGTATCAAATGAGTATTTGAAACCCACTTTCATCTCTTCTGTACATTGCCCTTGATGAAAAACAGCTGCAGACTTGGATTATCTACAAGGACAGAAGTGCATTATTTGAAGGTTTGATGATACCAGCACATCTTAATGTAATCAAATCAGAGTTTATAAATATGTCTAGGCAGAATGGAGGGGAAGCCATCACTCTCACACCTCGGGCTGCAGAGGTCCCCCTGAGGGAGATCCATTTCTGGCTGTCACCTGAAGCAAAGGTGGGGGTGGTTTGCTGGAGGCCACGCATCAAAGCAGTAAATTCCGTCGAGACACAACCATGACCAGACTGCTTTCCCTCCTATCTGTGCCCTGACTCCATCCAAACATTCCGTTTAGCTTGGTGGACCTCCTTAAATATTTTATTTCAATCATCCTGGAAACATTAAAAATAAAAAAAGAAGGCACAGCAACAGAAGAGCGAGGCTTACTCATGACTGCAGGACAGCAACTCTCCCTGGCTGAGGGGCAGAAGTTTACAGCCCCTGACCCCTTCATCACACACCTGCCACATTCCATGTGAACACGTCAAACCCTCAAGCCTGCCTGATTAATCACCCTGCCCAAGAATCTATGGAACAAAGTTCACATTACCGGAGAGCAGCATGAAGGGCCCTTCCGAGGTCAGGATGCAAGACCAAACAAAATTAACATGCCTGCCACATCCATCCTCTTGTAATCTGCTTCCAGTTCTGTAATCCCCAAATGTCCAGACTGTACATACCAAGAACATTCCTCTTCGATGTGGACCAAAACGGTTCACATACAGAGAACTCTGAATCTTCCCCACCTCCAAGAAAACCATTAACCATTTCTACACATCAAACTGCAGACACATGCTCAAGTCAAGTCTCTGGGGACCTAGAAGTTTTAATGATTCTATCAAAATGTTTCTTCACACATCATAAAAAGAAAATTTAATTTGACCTAAGAGTAAAGAGTACACATCGTTAACTTTCCAGTGATGTACTAACTCGTTTAGATCATGTAAAGGATACTACAATCTGCACTGCACTAAAGTGTTTCATAATTAGTTCAAGGGAACTGATCTTCCAAACAAAATGAACTGGTAGGATTAGATGCACTTAAAATTATAAGATATATATACTGTATTTTCTATTACCATGGGATTACTTTTCATTTTGATTTCCAAACCTATAGTTTTGGGTATCTCAAGGGAGGTCTCCTACACATTTTACCTAGGAGAGATTCAGAGACATTGTGTGAGGGACTTGGGATCACATAGCTCATGCCTAGGCTGGGCTGGGCTGAGAGAAGTCATCACACTACTGTTTTCCTCTCATAACTGATATTATTTTTAACACTTTATGCTATAAACCTCCTAATTCTCTCAAATACTTTACCACAAAGGCTTCACCACAAGGTTATTTTATACTATAAATTCCCTCATTCTCTCAAAATTTCACTCAAAAAAAACCCTTCACCACAAAGATTTGCATCATAGATCATGTGACTATTACTGGATTTGTTCAATTCAAAGCATACATTTCTAGACTCCTGACAGAATAGGAAGTTGGACAACCAGGATATTTTATGTTCTGGTCATTTACACTCCTGTTGTCTGGGAAGAATAGTTATAAACCAGAGAAACATACATGATTTAGGAGTAAGGATTAAAAAGAATGGGGACAGCTTTCTTACCTTTTAGAAATTCAACAATTAGGCTCAGTTCTGTGGGTTAAGAGTGTACACACTGATTGTTTAAGAGTGACACAAAAATAGACATTAATCTTAGGAACATAAGGAGTGATTCTTAAATTAAAAATAAGGAAAAAGAATCATTGTGGTTTGCAGGCCAGTAGGATTTGAAGTGGCAAGACTGATTCATCAAACAATAATCAAATGAGTACTCTGTGCACAAAAGAATTCTGCATGTGGTGTTCACTTAATCTTTATACCTGTCTTCTAAGGCTTTCTATGTACGTTACTGGTGATGAAGCTGGGGATCAGTGAAGGGCCTTGTTGAAATCACAGTTACATGACAAAGCTGAGATCAGAAGAAATACACATCTCATTGTAACCATCGAGAAATACACCACCAATACTTAGGAATCTGATAAATGTCAGCATTCCCATCCCTCCTTAAAAGTTAATATTTTGAACTCCCTGTACCATTCTTGTAACATGAAAATGTGAAAGTATTTCAAAGCAAAAAAAGTCAACCTGCTGTTTCCCATTGGCTAGAGCAGGAAAACAGGACACCGTTCTCATGAAAGGGCAAGGAGGTGATGAAGAGAGGGTGTAGTCAAGGCTTGGCAAGGCAAAAGGGCTGTGAGAGGTTTCAGGGGAAGGAGGAGGGGAGAGGACTGTGTGGTAATGATCCAGATGTCAATACAAGTATTGGTTCTTTCTTTCACTGAGTCAACGAATCCCGGTTCAGTATGTCCTCCATGCTGGGTACAACATGAAGTGACTAAGGCAAGAAGCCTGCCCTCCGGGACTCAGTTGGGAAAGAGAAAGAGAGATGGCAACCAGCAATACAATAGCATCGGCTCAGAGCTATGCCACAGACTTCTGTGGGGCACTTCCACCCACCCCTGGGAGAGGGAGGGGATGCTTCCTAGAGGATGTGATGTTTATGCTGGGGTCTCAAAGCATGAAGAGCAGTTTCCCTGGGGAAGGACCACCTAAGCAGAGCATATGTCCAAAGGCATGCAGGTCAGGGAGATCAAGGTGTGCCCTAGAAAAGGAAGGTGGTTCTCTGCCTACAGCCTGAGATGCATGGTGGCATTGGTAGGGGCAGCAGAGAAACGATGCAGGAGAGGTGGATGGGGACCATGATTCTGGGTATGCCGAGGGTGGCCTGCATTCTGTACACTATGAGGAGCCAAAAGGATTTGAGGCAGGGGAGTGACACAGTTCATGATCAGATCACTTGGGTGGCTTTGTGGAAGATGGATTGGAGAGAGCCAGACAGGTGACAAGGAGGTCAGCTGTTATGAACTCCACTCAGAAGGACCTCACAGGCTGAAGGTCCTTGGTGACCCCTAGTCTAGCTTCCCACTGTGTAAGTGACAAACCGAGGTCTGGAAAGGTTAAGTGACTTGCACAAGGTTACCCAGCCCGCAAGTCACAGAGTTGGGACGGGAATGAGGATCTTCTGCGGCTGCTGCAGGATCCCTTCCCCCTGCCTAGACTGCCAAAGAGAATGAGAGCTCTCAAGCCTGGCCTTCCCAGGAGTGGCCACAAGTTTATTCATTGAGAAACACAACAGAAAGGTCAGAGAACAACAGTTGGTAAAAAAGCGAAAAATATGTTTTTACATTGGGCTTGGATTCCCACTATCATTATGTACCAGAGCAACACAGCTTAGATATTGAGTAAAACAAACTAACCAGACAAGGGAATTAAGGGAAAGTGCACAGCCACTTCCTAAATCGGCCAAAGTAATCAGACTTGGACTGTTCACACACGTGAAATTCCAAGACATGAGCAAAATCCTTTTTGAGTAGCCTGGATCAATTTTTTTCTTAAGAGCAGAGGATCACTACTTCAGACATGTTGTCTAAAAAGAAAGCCAGTTGGCAAGAAAATCCTTCATCCATAGAACTACTATTCATGCTGTCAGTACCCAAAGATGCCCAAAGTAACTTCGCATGATTGCCACTGTCACTGAACTGAGATCCAAAGTCAAATGCCCTAGCTCTGGAATTTGAGGACAGGGAAGTGCCTTCTTTTCAGGAAAACTCAAATATCAAGGTGAAGCAAAAATGCTCAAGATCTGAAAAACTAAATAGCCCTCCTATAGCCTACTCAGAATTTCACTCCAAAGAGGGTGCTCTACATGGAGAACTTATTTTCAGAATAAAAACAGATTTTCTGACACCTGCATCTTTCCCAAAGGGCCCTTGAGACTTCCTATCTGCATGTGAAATGGTGGGGTGTCAGAGGATCTTGGGGCTGCTGTCCTCCTCAGGGCTGAGCCCCCATTTTCAGTTCAAGTGCGTAGCAGGCCAAGGAAGAAAGGTAACTGTGTTATCCAACACCCCATTTCATACTGTACATACCAAACCATTAAAAGCAACAGAGCACATTGTGTCTTCGATTGGTTACAGATGGAAGAAAAACAGCCACAGTAATAAATTCATGGAGGTGGAGTGTGTCGTCACACACGGAGCCAGGATGTGTGATCCAGAAGGTGTGTGTGGGGGAGTTAATACCATATGTCGTTTGACTGCCGTGGGCCTGCTCCCATGTCAATAGCAACACGTTCCTCCAAAACAGCTCCGACACCATCCCTGACGCCACGGCACTCTGCCAAACCAACATGACTCTTACCAGGTACTGAAGTCGCTGGCGCTCAGTCTCGGGGGTAAATTCTGAAGACATGGGGATGATTTCTCCATTTCTGATGATTATGGCCCTGAAATGGTAAAAAATCGTATTGTCAGTAGCCAACCCCATAAGTACCTCAATTCTATGACAACTCCACAGCTTGGTTCAGAGCACACATGAGGGGTGCGTGGGTGGCTCAGTCAGCTAAGCATCCGACTCTTGATTCCGGTTCAGGTTGTGATCTCAGGGTTGTGAGATCAAGCCCTGCATCAGGCTCTGAGCAGAGTCTGCTTGAGATTCTCCCTCTCCCCCAACTCGCATGCACTTGCGCTCTCTTTCTCCCTCTCAATAAATAAATAAATAAAATTAAAAAAAAAAAGAACACACATGAAATGCCCAAGGGACACCTTTTCCTGCATGGCAACATTCACTGCTACCAACTGTGGATCCCTCACCATATTATAGGTATCTTTACTTTGAGAACATTACAATCTGGTTAGCTTACATTTACTTTTTCTGCTAGCTGGAACCAAACCTTAACAGCCAGCACCAACCATCCTTTGGCACATAATAGATGCTCAATGAATAAATGAATAACTGAACGATGGAAATTGAGGCTTACTCTAGACTAGTGCTCTTCAAAAGAACTTTCTATGACAACGGAAATACGTTAATCTCTGTAATCTAATATGGCAGCCACTAGCCACATGTGGGTAATGAGCATCTAAATTATGGTTAGTGCAGCTGAGAAAGTGAATTTTTTATCTTACTTAATTTTAATTCATTTAAGTTTAAGAAGTCATGAGTGGCTAGTGTTTAATGCAGTAGACAGTACAGCTCCAGATCCCTGTTACTCCAAGTGTCTGTGGGCCAGGAGCACTGACCTCGCCTGGGATCTTATTAGAAATGCAGATTCTCAGGTTCTACCCCAGACTTACTGTATCAGAATCTTCATTGTAATATGATCCCCAGGTGCTTCATAGGCACATTAAAATCTAAGAAGCCTGACTTTGACTCCTGAGTTTCTAGGGTAGTATCCTGGGTCCAGGAAAAGATGTTCTCATCTCATCCTGAAGCTTAGGAAATTCACACACTTCCAAAAATGTATCCAAAACCTACTGCTGCCTCAGGGATTTGAGAGAACAGAGCTCCCCAAAGGAGACATCTAAGGGAGAGGCCACGGTATTGATAACCATGGAGCAATGTTTCCTAGGCCTATTCCAGACGGAGCCTCCTGTTCCTAGATCTTCTTGTTCTGAAGTGGTTCCTAACAGCCACTTTCCAGCTATCAATCGGTGAAGTGGCTTGCAAATTGCATTCTATATGAGCCCAACAATTCCCAGGTACCAGGGAGAAGGAGGCCTGGAATCCCACACACTTCTCTGTGAAGAGCCACAAGTACAGGAAGTGCCTTCCATGAGCTCAGCTCTGGATGGATGTGTCACTGACTCTAGGGTCAGCTGCATTCTTTGTGCCAAGAGGCCCCAGGCACCCCACTCTCCCCCCCACAGAGGTGGTCTCCAACTCAGAAGCAATCCCTATAAATGGCTGCAGCTGTCCCAACCTCTCCCCCAACCCCTCACCACCTGTGCCCAGTTGTTGCTGTCATAGGGACCAGTGGGAAGGCAGGTAAGGGAGGGTATGACACCAAACATCACACGGGGCTTTAGAGAATTAACGGTTCTAAAAGAAAACCAGTGGAAGCTATGAAAAAAATGGAAAATTTTAGGGGAGCTGACTGGGAAGAAGATGTAATATTCGTATTTTTTTTTTATTATGATGCCAAAAATAGGACAAATTTAAGTTTCTTCTTATAAATCCAGAGTCACTTGTAAAAGGCACCCCCCCCACCCCAAGAAAGGTAATATCCACCATTCACAAATCAGTGTGTTCATTCAAATGGTCTCCATCCTAATTAATGAGCTAAAGCTAACTCCCTGCATAAGGGAATGGGAGTTTTGATAGAGGATGGAGAGACTTGGAGAGCTTGAAAGGAAGCTCTAGGTTAGAGCCTTATTTCAAAGTAGCATGAAGGGCCCTGAGAACCAGGGGGATAAGATCAAAAGTCATTAGGCAATAAATTCCAAAGGCAACCTTCTCTTTCAAAACTTTGCTTACAGCTAGTTTTCACTCTTTTTCTTCCCCTCTTCTACATGGTCCCTGAATTGCAGCTTCTAGGCTCCAACCAGAAAAATTGGCTCTCTGGGAAGGAAGTAAAAGATAATGAGTCGAAAGGAAGGTAGAGAGGACAGAAGACAGTGTCAGAGACCACAGAGGAGGGTGTGTGGGGAGAAGCCAACACTGAGCCATCAGGCCGTGGAAGCTCCTCTTGTAGAACCTACATTCGAGGTCAGTGACCTTGTTTGCTCTTATATTCCAAATGCTTCGCCTGTCACACAGCAGGAACCCCATAACTATTTGTGGAACACGAGAACAAATGAGAGAACTCAGGAGAGGTTTTTTCCCTTGAATTCGAGGCAGGAAGACAGAGGCAGCAGATGCTCACGTGCATGAGTAAAGTAAGGTTGACTTCAGAGCCAAGAAGGGTCTTCACCTAGAAATGTACCTGCTCCCTCTGCTATCCTGTTCTGTTCTCTTCCTGACCAGGGTGCGTCCATCCACCACTCCCCACACAGGCCTTCCCTATATTAGTTATTCCCTCTCTGCACCTCTGGCTCTGCCCACAGGCCCATAGTTCAAACCTATGCTCAAAGCACTTTCAGTTGGGGTGCCTGGGTGGTTCAGTCGGTCAAGCGTTAAGCGTCTGCCTTTGGCTCAGGTCATGGGCCTGGGGTCCCAGGGTCCTGGGATTGAGCCCCTGCTCAGCGGGGAGTCTGCTTCTCCCTCTACCCCTCACCCCCAACTCGTGCACTCTATCTCTCATTCTCTCTCTCTCAAATAAAGAAAATTATTTTCAAAAAACCATACTTTCAGTTTACAATCAAACAAAACAACAAAAACTGATACTCTCCTAATCCAAAACCCACCTTTCAGGGCCTGTTTTCTTTTCTCTCCGATTAAGATAATAATCCACATTTAAGGGCTGTACTTCCCTACCTCCCACTGATCCTTTAAACAGAGGTAAATTCATTCTTGCCCCTCTCTCTATCCAACTGCTCTCAGAATCACCCAATGGCCTCTTTGTTGCTTATATCCACTCGATATGACCTCATTCTTAATCTGCTTGGCAGCATTTGACAGTCTCTCCTGATCCTGGCTTCTAGGATACACCTCCTCCTGGATTCCCTATGTCCCTGGAGGCCCCCTTCTCAGACTCCTCTATGTCTCCTCTGGTATTATGGGCTACCATTTTGTCTCTCTACTCCTCTTCTTGGGCAATCTCATTTCCTAACTCCCTAACCCCCAAGATTAGGTTTAACAGCCTCTCCCACATGCTCTCTGAGCCTGGTACTTCTAATACAGAGCACATCACATTTTGTTACTGATGACTTAACAAGCAAGCTGGCCTGTGAGCTCCTAAGGCAAGAACCATGGCCGTCTTACTCAACACTGTAGCCTCGCTACTGTACACAGGGCCAAGCTATGATAAGCAGGACTGGGTACTTAACTTCCAGGGTCCAGTGCAAAATAAAAATGCAGGGCCTCTTGTTTAAAAATTAATGAGGGGGCGCCTGGGTGACTCAGTCGTTAAGCGTCTGTCTTCGGCTCAGGTCACGATCCCAGGGTCCTGGGATCGAGCCCCACACTGGGCTCCCTGCTCCGCAGGAAGCCTGCCTCTCCCTCTCCCACACCCCCTGCTTGTGTTCCCTCTCTCGCTGTGTCTCTCTCTGTCAAATCAATAAAATCTTAAATAAATAAATAAATAAATAAATAAATAAATAAATAAATAAATAAAAATAAAAATTAATGAGAATTTTAAAATGGTGACAACAGAGCATTAAACCCAATGTGGGGCCCTCCCTAGAGTGAGGCCTGTGTGAACCACAGGTCGCACATCCGTGAAGCTGGCCCAGACCGACACCCTTAACATTCACCAAACGAGGAAATGGCTTCAACAACCGCATGCGCCATGACTCCGAATATCCTTGGCAGCCCTGTATCTCTGCTGTGCTCCAGCCTGGAGCAGACAACCGCCAACAGGTATCTCCACTTGAGTAATCACCATCATCTCATCTCAAACATTCAGCATGTTTCAGACTTAACTGGTAATCCTACCCCATCCCACCCGCAGATCTGTCCTTCAGCGTTCTCCATCTCAGGAAAAGCACTCCTTCCCACCTAGTCGCCTATCCCACACCAGGGAGCACTCTCAGACTGCTTCCGTTCCTCACCTTACCATCCCAACAGGCACCACACCAGGTAGATTTCACCTCCTTTCCTTGACTCCCACCATTAGTGCCTTGGCTCCAGGCCCTATCAGAGTTTGTCCACATGACTCAGGAACTCTCTCTGCTCCCACTTCTGCCCTCCTCTGACCCCGGACATGGTCACCACGGTGATTTTAAAGCATGATTCTCACCGTCATATCCCCTCCTGTAAAGCTCCCTCATGGCTCCCCAGCACTTCTAAAATCATTATCTGCATTTTGCCTGTTTAAGCCTCACTCTTGTTATTTCTTACACATCTACCTCACCCTTCCTCTGGACAAGTTATTCCTCTTGAGAGTCCATCAACCCTGGAGAACGCCTTCTCTTGCCCTCCTGCTTTACCTCCAAGGCCCCTTCTCTGTGCTACCATGGTGTTGTACGCCACAGCCCTTACCAATCCTCACCACGACGGCTGCTCCCATGGCTTCTCTAACTACCTGAGCCCATTTTCTGGCCAGAGCCTGAGTCCTTGTCTCTGAATCTCCAGCACACAATGCCTGGCCTGTGACAAGACACACAGTGACTGCTGATGGATAAATGACTATGTGGATAAAGAATGAGTGAGCTACACTTGGGTGGATCAACAGATGTATCCAGAGCGGAGGCCTTGAATAAAATTTCTCCTAGTAACAGCATTATTGTCTGTAATTGTCTAACTGTATATAGTCTGGACCTTTAAACATCCATATGCCTTTTCATTGGTTTTACAAAAAGACAATGCACGTAAAAGGATGTCATTCTGGCTAGGTCATTACCAAAA